TCATAGCAGGGTGGAAGAGTGGTTTCATGGCAGGGTGGAAGAGTGGTTTCATAGCAGGGTGGAAGAGTGGTTTCATAGCAGGGTGGAAGAGTTGTTTCATAGCAGGGTGGAAGAGTGTTTTCATAGCAGGGTGGAAGAGTGGTTTCATAGCAGGGTGGAAGAGTGTTTTCATAGCAGGGTGGAAGAGTGGTTTCATAGCAGGGTGGAAGAGTGGTTTCATAGCAGGGTGGAAGAGTGGTTTCATAGCAGGGTGGAAGAGTGGTTTCATAGCAGGGTGGAAGAGTGGTTTCATAGCAGGGTGGAAGAGTGGTTTCATAGCAGGGTGGAAGAGTGTTTTCATAGCAGGGTGGAAGAGTGGTTTCATAGCAGGGTGGAAGAGTGGTTTCATAGCAGGGTGGAAGAGTGGTTTCATGGCAGGGTGGAAGAGTGGTTTCATGGCAGGGTGGAAGAGTGTTTTCATAGCAGGGTGGAAGAGTGGTTTCATAGCAGGGTGGAAGAGTGTTTTCATAGCAGGGTGGAAGAGTGTTTTCATAGCAGGGTGGAAGAGTGGTTTCATGGCAGGGTGGAAGAGTGGTTTCATAGCAGGGTGGAAGAGTGGTTTCATAGCAGGGTGGAAGAGTGTTTTCATAGCAGGGTGGAAGAGTGTTTTCATAGCAGGGTGGAAGAGTGGTTTCATGGCAGGGTGGAAGAGTGGTTTCATAGCAGGGTGGAAGAGTGGTTTCATAGCAGGGTGGAAGAGTGTTTTCATAGCAGGGTGGAAGAGTGGTTTCATAGCAGGGTGGAAGAGTGGTTTCATAGCAGGGTGGAAGAGTGGTTTCATAGCAGGGTGGAAGAGTGTTTTCATAGCAGGGTGGAAGAGTGGTTTCATAGCAGGGTGGAAGAGTGGTTTCATAGCAGGGTGGAAGAGTGGTTTCATGGCAGGGTGGAAGAGTGGTTTCATGGCAGGGTGGAAGAGTGTTTTCATAGCAGGGTGGAAGAGTGGTTTCATAGCAGGGTGGAAGAGTGTTTTCATAGCAGGGTGGAAGAGTGTTTTCATAGCAGGGTGGAAGAGTGGTTTCATGGCAGGGTGGAAGAGTGGTTTCATAGCAGGGTGGAAGAGTGGTTTCATAGCAGGGTGGAAGAGTGTTTTCATAGCAGGGTGGAAGAGTGTTTTCATAGCAGGGTGGAAGAGGGGGGTTGGCACTGGTCTCAGGTCTGCAGTGCAGTGGTGTGTACTGTGTAGTGTGGAAGGGTAGTTTGGGGGTTAGGGTTGGACATTGGTCTTTTTTACATCTGTCTCCCTGACATACACACACACATGCCTCAGACCCTCCAACTCTCCAACCGCTCGGTTCCGCTCTGCTCAACTCTGCTCTGTACTATTCTACTCTGTTCTACTCTACTCTGCTCAACTCTGCTCTGTTCTACTATACTCTGTTCTGCTCTGCTCTGTTCTATTCTACTCTGTTCTATTCTACTCTGTTCTACTCTACTCTGTTCTGCTCTGATCTGTTCTATTCTACTCTGTTATATTCTACTCTGTTCTATTCTGTTCTGCTCTGTTCTATTCTACTCTGCTCTATTCTACTCCACTCTGTTCTACTCTGCTCTGTTCTATTCTACTCTGCTCTATTCTACTATGTTCTGCTCTGTTATATTCTACTCTGTTCTATTCTACTCTGTTCTATTCTGTTCTGCTCTGTTCTATTCTACTCTGCTCTATTCTACTCCACTCTGTTCTACTATGCTCTGTTCTATTCTACTCTGCTCTATTCTACTATGTTCTGCTCTGTTCTATTCTACTCTGCTCTATTCTACTCTGCTCTATTCTACTCCACTCTGTTCTGTTCTACTCTGTTCTATTCTACTCTGTTCTATTCTACTCTGCTCTATTCTACTCTGCTCTATTCTACTCCACTCTGTTCTGTTCTACTCTGTTCTACTCTGTTCTATTCTACTCTGCTCTATTCTACTCTGCTCTATTCTACTCCACTCTGTTCTGTTCTACTCTGTTCTGCTCTGTTCTACTCTGTTCTGTTATATTCTACTCTGCTCTATTCTACTCCACTCTGTTCTGTTCTACTCTGTTCTGCTCTGTTCTACTCTGTTCTACTCTGTTCTGTTTTATTCTACTATGTTCTATTCTACTCTGTTCTACTCTACTCTGATCTGCTCTATTCTACTCTGTTCTGTTCTACTCTGTAATGCTCTGTTCTGCTCTGTTCTGTTTTATTATACTTTGTTCTATTCTACTCTGTTCTACTCTACTCTACTCTGTTCTGCTCTATTCTACTCTGTTCTTTTCTACTCTGCTCTGTTCTATTCTACTCTGCTCTATTCTACTCCACTCTGTTCTGTTCTACTCTGCTCTGTTCTATTCTGTTCTGTTCTACTCTGCTCTGCTATGTTCAGTTCTGCCCTACTATGTTCTGTTCTACTCTACTCTGTTATGTTCTACTCTGTTCTGTTCTACTTTGCTCTGCTCTATTCTGTTCTACTCTAATCTACTCTGCTCTGCTCTATTCTATTCTGTTCTACTGTGACGAGGTGTGAAAGAAGGAGTCAGGCGCAGGAGGTAAGATACCGAAGTCCAGAGTTGAGTCCGTTTGTATAAATCAAACGCCCCAAGCGTCAAACGAAACTATACAAGGGAAAACATCCACCTTGGCAATAACGCAGTGAAATGTACCTCAACCGAGCTACACACTCTTCACAACAAAACAATCACTCACAAAGACAAGGGGAACAGAGGGAACACTTATACACATACTAATTAGGGGAATGAGCACCAGGTGTGTGTGATTGAAAAGACATGACAAGTGGAGTGATGAGAATGGGATCGGCAGTAGCTAGTACTCCAGTGACGACAAACGCCGAAGCCTGCCCGATCCAGGAGGGGGGGCAACCTCGGCGGAAGTCGTGACATCTACTCTGCTCTGCTCTGTTCTACTCTACTCTACTCTGTTCTGTTCTACTCTGCTCTCTTCTACTCTACTCTGCTCTGTTCTGTTCTGCTCTGTTCTACTCTATTCTGCTCTGTTCTGTTCTACTCTGTTCTGCTCTGTTCTGTTCTACTCTGTTCTGCTCTGTTTTATTATACTCTGTTCTGTTTTACTCTGTTCAGTTTTACTCTGTTCTGTTCTACTCTACTCTGCTCTATTCTATTCTACTCTGTTATGTTCTGCTTTGTTCGGTTCTACTCTGCTCTGTTCTGCTCTACTCTGCTATATTCTACTCTATTCTGTTCTGTTATACTCTGCTCTGTTCTGTTATACTCTATTCTGCTCTGTTCTACTCTGCTCTGCTCTCTTTTATTATACTATGTTCTGTTCTGCTCTGTTCTCCTCTGTTCTGTTCTACTCTGCTCTACTCTACTATATACTACTCTGCTCTGTTATGTTCTGTTCTACTCTGCTCTGTTCTGTTCTACTCTGTTCTACTCTGCTGTACTCTGCTCTGTTCTGCTCTGTTATGCTCTGATCTGCTCTACTCTACTCTACTCTGCTCTGCTCTGTTCTGTTCTACTCTGTTCTACTCTGCTCTGTTATGTTCTGTTCTACTCTGCTCTGTTCTGTTCTACTCTACTCTGTTCTGTTCTACTCTGCTCTACTCTATTATGCTCTACTCTGTCCTGTTCTGCTCTGTTCTGTTCTACTCTTCTCTACTCTACTCTACTCTACTCTGCTCAATTCTACTCTGTTCTGTTCTACTCTGTTCTGTTCTGTTCTACTCTGCTCTGTTCTACTCCACTCTGTTCTGTTCTGTTCTACTCTGTACTGTTCTACTCTGCTCTATTCTACTCCACTATGTTCTATTCTACTCTGTTCTGCTCTGTTCTACTCTGTTCTACTCTGTTCTACTCTGTTCTGTTCTGTTCTACTCTGTTCTGTTCTGTTTTGGTTGCTACCCAGCAGCATCAATTACAGCAGGACACACACAGGCACGTACACACAACACAAGCAAGCACACACAAACACAGGCGCATGTAGGCAGAAAACACACACACGCCCACACACAGGCAGAAAACACACACACTCCACAGCACTGTATTACCATCTCCACAGGGGTAATTGGTCCACTATATACTTCCAATTCAGGTCTGCAAGTCTCAGCAGCCTATTCCTCCAGTCAGTCAATATTGCTGCATGTTTAACTGGCTATTACAGCCTGTGGCGTCACTGCAGGACCCTGGAAGATTGAACTAGCATGGGGGCCAGCCACACTGCATCACACACCAGGGTTCAAACAGCATTCGTTTGATTGAGCTTGCCTGGAGGATTAGTTAGATTGAACCTGCATGGAGGATTAGTTTGATTGAGCCTACCTGAAGGATTTGTTTGATTGAGCCTGCCTGGAGGATTCATTTGATTGAGCCTGCCTGGAGGATTCGTTTGATTGAGCCTGCCTGGAGGATTCGTTTGATTGAGCCTGCCTGGAGGATTCGTTTGATTGAGCCTGCCTGGAGGATTCGTTTGATTGAGCCTGCCTGGAGGATTCGTTTGATTGAGGCTGCCTGGAGGATTTGTTTGATTGAGCATGCCTGGAGGATTCATTTGATTGAGCCTGCCTGGAGGATTCATTTGATTGAGCCTGCCTGGAGGATTCGTTTGATTGAGCCTGCCTGGAGGATTCGTTTGATTGAGCCTGCCTGGAGGATATGTTTGATTGAGCCTGCCTGGAGGATATGTTTGATTGAGCCTGCCTGGAGGATTCGTTTGATTGAGCCTGCCTGGAGGATATGTTTGATTGAGCCTGCCTGGAGGATTCGTTTGATTGAGCCTGCCTGGAGGATTTGTTTGATTGAGCCTGCCTGGAGGATATGTTTGATTGAGCCTGCCTGGAGGATTCGTTTGATTGAGCCTGCCTGGAGGATTCGTTTGATTGAGCCTGCCTGGAGGATATGTTTGATTGAGCCTGCCTGGAGGATATGTTTGATTGAGCCTGCCTGGAGGATATGTTTGATTGAGCCTGCCTGGAGTGTCAGATGGGTGTGGTTGGGGGTTGGTTATTCCATGGGTTTCATTGTGCCAGACAACCTCTATTAAGCAAGGGGTTGGAAGGAAACAAATACTGGTTGAACCCAGCTGTGCTGCATCATGGGAGTCAGCAGCAGTACATTACTCTCTGCAGGTCGAAGTGATCATCGTTACAACAGAGGCAGTAACTATCATCAGATCTGACTGTGTCGCGGCTGATGGACTGTGTGTGTGTGTGTGTGTGTGTGTGTGTGTGTGTGTGTGTGTGTGTGTGTGTGTGTGTGTGTGTGTGTGTGTGTATGCGTGTGTGTGCGTGTTTTTCCAGTTCCTGTGCTTGTCTGTGTGTGTGTGTGTGTGTGTGTGTGTGTGTGTGTGTGTGTGTGTGTGTGTGTGTGTGTGTGTGTGTGTGTGTGTGTGTGTGTGTGCGTGCGTGTGTGTGTACAGATCTGGCTACTGATGACCCTACTGAAGGGCCCTGATGACCCTGTCCAGTCCAGTTCTGTAATGGCTTTATAAACACAGATGATGCTGCCCTGTCCAGTCCAGTTCTGTAATGGCTTTATAAACACAGATGATGCTGCCCTGTCCAGTCCAGTTCTGTAATGGCTTTATAAACACAGATGATGCTGCCCTGTCCAGTCCAGTTCTGTAATGGCTTTATAAACACAGATGATGCTGCCCTGTCCAGTCCAGTTCTGTAATGGCTTTATAAACACAGATGATGCTGCCCTGTCCAGTCCAGTTCTGTAATGGCTTTATAAACACAGATGATGCTGCCCTGTCCAGTCCAGTTCTGTAATGGCTTTATAAACACAGATGATGCTGCCCTGTCCAGTCCAGTTCTGTAATGGCTTTATAAACACAGATGATGCTGCCCTGTCCAGTCCAGTTCTGTAATGGCTTTATAAACACAGATGATGCTGCCCTGTCCAGTCCAGTTCTGTAATGGCTTTATAAACACAGATGATGCTGCCCTGTCCAGTCCAGTTCTGTAATGGCTTTATAAACACAGATGATGCTGCCCTGTCCAGTCCAGTTCTGTAATGGCTTTATAAACACAGATGATGCTGCCCTGTCCAGTCCAGTTCTGTAATGGCTTTATAAACACAGATGATGCTGCCCTGTCCAGTCCAGTTATGTAATGGCTTTATAAACACAGATGATGCTGCCCTGTCCAGTCCAGTTCTGTAATGGCTTTATA